GTGTGTGTGATAGTGTAGTGATGTACACTCGTGTATGTGTGTGATGGTGTAGTTATGTACACTCTGTGTGTGTGTGTGATAGTGTAGTGATGTACACTCGTGTATGTGTGTGATGGTGTAGTTATGTACACTCTGTGTGTGTGTGTGATAGTGTAGTGATGTACACTCGTGTGTGTGTGTGTGTGATAGTGTAGTGATGTACACTGTGTGTGTGTGATAGTGTAGTGATGTACACTCGTGTGTGTGTGTGTGTGATCGTGTAGTGATGTACACTCTGTGTGTGTGTGATAGTGTAGTGATGTACACTCGTGTGTATGTGTGATGGTGAAGTGATGTACACTCTGTGTGTGTGTGTGATAGTGTAGTGATGTACACTCGTGTGTGTGTGATAGTGTAGTGATGTACACTCGTGTGTGTGATAGTGTAGTGATGTACACTCGTGTGTGTATGTGATTGTGTAGTGATGTACACTCTGTGTGATAGTGTAGTGATGTTCACTCTGTGTGTGTGATAGTGTAGTGACGTACACTCGTGTGTGTGTGTGTGTGTAATAGTGTAGTGATGTACACTCGTGTGTGTCTGTGTGATAGTGTAGTGATGTACACTGTGTGTGTGTGATAGTGTAGTGATGTACACTGTGTGTGATAGTGTAGTGATGTACACTGTGTGTGTGTGATAGTGTAGTGATGTACACTCGTGTGTGTGTGTGTAATAGTGTAGTGATGTCCACTCGTGTGTGTGATAGTGTAGTGATGTTCACTGTGTGTGTGTGATAGTGTAGTGATGTACACTCGTGTTTGTGTGTAATAGTGTAGTGATGTACACTTTGTGTGTGATAGTGTAGTGATGTACACTCGTGTGTGTGATAGTGTAGTGATGTACACTCGTGTGTGTGTGTGATAGTGTAGTGATGTACACTCATTTGTGTGTGTGATGGTGTAGTGATGTACACTGTGTGTGTGTGATAGTGTAGTGATGTACACTGTGTGTGTGTGTGTGATAGTGTAGTGAGGTACACTCGTGTGTGTGTGTGTGATAGTTTAGTGATGTACACTTGTGTGTGTGTGATAGTGTAGTGATGTACACTCGTGTATGTGTGTGATGGTGTAGTTATGTACACTCTGTGTGTGTGTGTGATAGTGTAGTGATGTACACTCGTGTGTGTGTGTGATAGTGTAGTGATGTACAATTCGCCATTCTGGCGAATTGCCCGATGATGCTGGAAGTATTTACCAGCGAAACGTCGTACTCAAACTGTAAATGTGGATTAACTCTTCAACACACCGGTGGGCTGAAGTAGTGAATTATTTGTCTTTTGTCAACGTGACACTTTTTTTTGCTGATTGGCCGTGTCGGGTGGTGGAGGGTTACGACACATTTATAAATAAACGCGATCTAACCCAAAAACCTTTATTATGAATAATATTGGTCGCGAAAGCCTACGTGTTACTCTGTGTGTGTGTGTGATAGTGTAGTGATGTACACTCGTGTGTATGTGTGATGGTGAAGTGATGTACACTCTGTGTGTGTGTGTGATAGTGTAGTGATGTACACTCGTGTGTGTGTGATAGTGTAGTGATGTACACTCGTGTGTGTGATAGTGTAGTGATGTACACTCGTGTGTGTGTGTGTGATAGTGTAGTGATGTACACTCGTGTGTGTGTGTGTGATAGTGTAGTGATGTACACTCGCTTGTGTGATAGTGCAGTGATGCACACTGTGTGTGATAGTGTAGTGATGTACACTGTGTGTGTGATAGTGTAGTCACGTACACTCGTGTGTGTGTGATAGTGTAGTGATATACACTCGTGTGTGTGTGTGTGATCGTGTAGTGATGTACACTCTGTGTGTGTGTGTGATGGTGTAGTGATGTACACTCGTGTGTGTGTGTGATGGTGTAGTGATGTACACTCTGTGTGTGTGTGTGATAGTGTAGTGATGTACACTCGTGTGTATGTGTGATGGTGAAGTGATGTACACTCTGTGTGTGTGTGTGATATTGTAGTGATGTACACTCGTGTGTGTGTGATAGTGTAGTGATGTACACTCGTGTGTGTGATAGTGTAGTGATGTACACTCGTGTGTGTGTGTGATAGTGTAGTGACGTACACTCGTGTGTGTGTGTAATAGTGTAGTGATGTACACTCGTGTGTGTGTGCGTGTGATAGTGTAGTGATGTACACTGTGTGTGTGTGTGTGATAGTGTAGTGATGTACACTGTGTGTGATAGTGTAGTGATGTACACTGTGTGTGTGTGACAGTGTAGTGACGTACACTCGTGTGTGATAGTGTAGTGATGTACACTGTGTGTGTGATAGTGTAGTGATGTACACTCGTGTGTGTGTGATAGTGTAGTGACGTACACTCGTGTGTGTGTGTGTGATAGTGTAGTGATGTGTGTGTGTGTGATAGTGTAGTGATGTACACTGTGTGTGATAGTGTAGTGATGTATACTCGCTAGTGTGATAGTGTAGTGATGTACATTGTGTGTGTGTGATAGTGTAGTGATGTACACTGTGTGTGATAGTGTAGTGATGTACACTGTGTGTGTGTGTTAGTGTAGTGATGTACACTGTGCGTGATAGTGTAGTGATGTACACTGTGTGTGTGATAGTGTAGTGATGTACACTGTGTGATAGTGTAGTGATGTACACTGTGTGTGTGTGATAGTGTAGTGATGTACACTCGTGTGTCTGTGATAGTGTAGTGATGTACACTGTCTGTGTGATAGTATAGTGATGTACACTGTGTGTGTGATTGTGTAGTGATGTACACTGTGTGTGTGTGATAGTGTTCTGATGTACACTCGAGTGTGTGCGTGTGATAGTGTTCTGATGTACACTCGTGTGTGTGTGTGTGTGATAGTGTAGTGATGTACACTCGTGTGTGTGTGATAGTGTAGTGATGTACACTCGTGTGTGTGATAGTGTAGTGATGTACACTGTGTGTGTGTGTGATAGTGTAGTGATGTACACTGTGTGTGTGATAGTGTAGTGATGTACACTCGTGTGTGTGTGTGATAGTGTAGTGATGTCCACTCGTGTGTGATAGTGTAGTGATGTACACTGTGTGTGTGATAGTGTAGTGATGTACACTGTGTGTGATAGTGTAGTGATGTATACTCGTGTGTGTGTGATAGTGTATTGATGTACACTCGTGTGTGTGTGTGATAGTGTAGTGATGTACACTCGTGTGTGTTATAGTGTAGTGATGTACACTCTGTGTGTGTGATAGTGTAGTGATGTACACTCGTGTGTTTGTGTTGGTGTAGTGATGACTGCGGTGTGTAGTAAACATCGCCACTGGGGAGACAAAGGCGGTCGGGCGTGGTGCTGGCCACCCACCCCTCGTGTGCCGTGCCGGCCTTCATCGGAGCTCGCTAACAGCACTTGCCCCTACAGTCTGTTAAGGCCATACCAGGGATCTCTGTCTATATAAACCTATCGGTAGATATTGATTCGTGTTCTTAGTTGTTGCCTGTGTAGTGATTTATACGGGCAACTCAGTTTATGTCTTGGTCTAGATGCCTAATAGAACCTAAAGTTGAGAGCTTCAGGCTGTAACACTGAACCCTAAGAATCCTCAATATGTCTGTATCATGCTGCCTCAAGCACTAATAATGAATCCTAAACATCTTAGCAATAGCTTGTTTGTGTGTCAAAGACTCACAGACACAGCATGGTAACAGCATCCTCATTCAATAATACACAAGTGTAGTGTTAATAGACCTCATGTAATACTCCTTTGCACTCGTGTGTGTGTGTGTGTGGTGTATATTAATGCAGAGATATTACAATACAAGATCAATAGTAATGTATGTATCTACAGTGATAGCCCAGTCTGGCTCTGTGAGCCTCGGGTTTTAACCTTGAACCCCAATAATCCTTAAGATGCCTTAGTATAGATATCGTAGCCTCAAACATTATGAATGAATAATGAGACTCATTAGGCATCCTTAGTCTGGTTATGAGCCTACAGCATTAATAATTAGACCTACGCATCACAAGGGTGATGTGGCCTTGCTCTAATCTGATGATGACATCCATTACAGAGAAGACTTATACTCGTAGATTCATCTGCTACAATGGTTACTTTGGCCAACAGAATCCTCACTGGATAATACAAAGGTGTCATATCAATGAAGCTCATGTAATAGTGAAATACACTCGTGGTTGTGTTATATATTGTCTAATGAATACATTACAGTCATAATGTTGATCTTTGCACGTGCAGTGTAGTGATATACAACATTAACCAAGGTTATGTCTTAGTCTGGCGCTGTGAGCCTCAGCTATTAACTGGGGAACCTAAGAATTCTTAAAGTGCCCTAGTTTGACTCTCTGAGCATCAGGCGGTTAATATCAAGCCTAAGAATCTCAACTGTGTCTTGGTCTGGATGTATGATCCTTGGGTAATAACAATCAACCATGAGATTCCTAAAATTACATTGACCTCGTTTTAAAAGCCATAGACTTTATCATTGAACCATACACATCCCGCAGGCTGCCTTTGTTCCCAAGTGCTGATGTTTGCCAGACGTACTAGGTACTCATTAAGGCTGAGTCGATCTAGGAGAGGTCCAACATTGGTTCTGAATCCAGCCATGGCCGTGAATCACGTGGAGGTGACCATGTTTGTAGCTCAGTGCACAAACCATCCCATCTTCATTGAACATTCACTCTCGCTCATCCATACACCTCCGATTAGCACGCTTGGCTACGTACAGTTTGAAAGAAGTGCAAGATACATGCATACATACACTATTACAAAGGCAAATATATCCCCATATATCTTTAACAGACTGTTGTGGCAAATGCTGTTAGAGGGGGTGGGTGGCCAGCACCACGCCTGACCGCTTTTGTCTCCCTCATGTCTATGTTTACACACTGCACCAGATATTCATTTGTAAGTATGCTGATCCTCTTTCACACCGCACATAGCCAAATGTGTATTTACGGCTGAGTCTACCTGGCGGGGGGGGGGGGGGGATTTGTACCGCAGCATGCCAAATGCTAGACTACCACTTCCCACACGCTCCATTTAATCGATACATACACAGACACGATTACATACGCAATAACATACATGCACACGTGGCATGAGTCCGTGTTACTCACACATGAGCGGCAGCAGTTTAACCAGATCTCCCTGCTGTGCGCTGATCGTGGCAATGTCTTCTTTGCTGGGAGATGAGTGTGGAGCTTCCTTCTGAGCGCTTCTCCTATGACATCAGAACCAGCAGTGACTCACACAGCCAGTGTCTTACACAGCATCATCACACAGTATCATCACACATAGCATCATCACATGCAGCATCACCACACACAGCCAGTGTCCTACAAAGCATCACACACATCATCATCATCACACACAGCCAATGTCCTACAAAGCATAATCACACACAGCATCATCACACCACACCATCATCATGTCCCACACACAGAGTCACCCAGTGTGTAAATCTGTGCGAATTCATGAGTCCATACCAGTTTCTCTCCTTCAGGTGAACCTGCAGGAGTCAGACACAGGGGGTGTGAGTCAGTTCATTTCGAGCCACATTAACAACACGGTTATTGGTAGACGCGATGAGAGTGCAATCAAGACAAAGCCATGGACTCGTTTGGACTTGATGGTTCTCATTAGCAAGGTGTGGACTCTCAAACCATTGCCATGGGCAATAGGCGTACGTGGCACTCGACATCAAGTGGCAGTGATTATGAACCAATATTCGAAAAAATTATCCACCAAGAGCATTGCGTTACCTTTGTCATTAGTTTCGAAATTTGGGGACGATTTTTGGGCCGAAAAACGGCAGAGAGGCCCACCTTTGATACGATTTTTGGGCCCAAAAGTCGGTAATTTACATGCATAATGTACATACATAACGTAAATTTTAATTTAAAGCTTTCGTGACTGCAGTAATTCATATTCTTAGCTCTTTCGGTAAAGTCACGTTGAAGGGAAACAATAAAATAATACACTTTATATAAAACAATAAACATTCTCACGACGTTTCGACCATAACACAAACGGTCGTCATTAGGTGTGTCGGTTTGCATACATTTATTTATTTTTAAATGGAGTATAAATTTATTTATTTATTTATTAGAAACGTCAGCGCCACGCGCAGCGATTTAGCAGTTTATCTAGAAGGACTAGTCCATCTATGTTCTGAAAAGAGGAGGGGGGAGACGAAAAATTAATGTATGCTGTCTGAAAGCCACTGTAAGTGTGAACAATCAATTAAGACCTGAAATGGTTTATCAAATCTTTCCAATGATTGCTAAGCCAGAATCCATCTTCTCGGTTGAAATTGTCTCTGTGCTTGTATATGTGGATAGCCTCATGAACGAATCTTTCATGGTAGCCAGATGGCTTACAAAGAACCTCTGTCTTGGAAAAGTCAATGCCATGTGAGCCTACTGAATTATAACAATGATCTGCCACGGCCGAGGTGTTGGTCCTACCGTGTTTAAGGTCTGCTTTGTGTTCATGAATGCGGTCCGAGACATGGCGTTTGGTTTCTCCAATGTAACTACTACCACAGAGGCAACTTAGTTTGTAGACACCAGGGTACTGTATGTCCGGAATCACATCTTTTACAGATGGAACCAGATCACGGATTTTATGTAATGTGTTGAAACGGACCTGGATCTTGTGTTTATTCAAGATTTTGGAGATCTTTTTTGTGATCCCCGCAATGTAGGGTAAAGTGACGGTTGTTAAAGGCTCCTCAAGAGGGTCCTTCTTCATGGTTTGAGTGATAGCTTTGCGGATTGTATAGTCGGAGTAACCATTAGCCTAAAGAGCTTGGTGTACATGCTTGAGTTCACTGCCTATGTGTTCCTGGTCGGATATGCATTGGGCTCTATGATACAGAGTCTTGATGAGAGAATTCTTCTGTGATGGATGTTGGTGGGAATCCGGTTTCAGATAAGCATCCGTATGGGTAGCTTTCCTGTAGACAGAGTGGCTCATTGAACCATCAGGTCTCTTTTTAATTAGGACATCCAAAAAAGGTTGCTTGCCATGTTTTTCGACTTCCATGGTAAATCTGATAGCTGGGTGTATGGAATTGATGTGGTCGAAGAATTGGTCTAGAGCAGGCCGGCCATGTGGCCAGATGACAAAAGTGTCATCCACGTACCTCTTCCATAAGGTTGGGCGCAGAGTGGCAGTCTGGATGGCGTCAGTCTCAAATTTCTCCATGAAAATGTTAGCTATAACCGGAGATAGGGGGGAGCCCATTGGGGTGCCCTCAGTTTGTTTGTAGAAAGTTCCATTCCAAGTGAAGTATGTATTGGTTAAACAGTGTCTCACCAGGGGGGGTACCTCAGTGTTTAGTCCTTGTTGAACCAAGTCTTCAATGATTGCGATGGTGTCAGGTACAGGAACCTTGGTGAATAAGGAAACTACATCAAAACTAACAAGCAGGTCGTCTGGGGACAGGGAAATACCCTTGATTGTCGATACCAAGTGAGTAGAATTTTGTACCGCAGAGGTGGTTTTTCCAGTGAAAGGACGCAGCATTTCAGACAAAAAACGAGCCAGTTTGTAGGTGGGGGAGTTGATAGTAAAGACGATGGGACGAAGGGGTGTATCTACTTTATTTATCTTTGGTAAGCCATATAATTTTGGTGGCCTGGCAGCAGAAGGTTTCAACAAAAACTGTTTAGATTGATCAATTAATGCGGTTGAATCAGAAATAATTTTGTTGGTTTGTGTGACGAGGCTGTTGGTGGGATCTCTTTTTATTTTTGTATAACTACCATCATCGACACACCTGATGACGACCGTTTGTGTTATGGTCGAAACGTCGTGAGAATTTTTATTGTTTTATATGTATTTTATTATTTTATTGTTTCCCTTCAACGTGACTTTACCGAAAGAGCTAAGAATATACATAACGTACTTCATTAACCGTGAATAACCCAACTAATAATGAAGATCCATTGTAATTTATATGCATAGATTAACCCAGCTCTCCCACTCTGCGCTTCGCACCTAATTGGCTCATAGTTATGACTTCACATTTATTCCTCTAAGACAGGGGTGGGGAACCTTTTTCTGCCAAGGGCCATTTGGATATTTATATAACATCATTCGCGGGCCATACAACATTATCAACTTAAAAATTAGCCTGTTATATTTGGTCAAACATTTAATTAACTCGCCCCTAATGTGATGGCTGGAACTGCTTCTCTTTGGCGAGGCGTGTGGTGATGTTAGCTGGTATTGATGATGTTGCTCCTCGCAACTGCTTTTCCAGGTTTGCTCCTAGAATTATTGAATTTTGAGTCCCGCCTGCGGTTTCCTTGGCAGCGCCAGACCAAATTATTTTGCGGGCCTTATACAGCCAGCGGGCCGGACGTTCCCCACCCCTGCTCTCAGACCAAAACAGGAGAATTTCTCCACAATTTTGATGGTAATCTGATGAGGCTGGTTGTAAGGACGTGTATGCTGATATCGCTGAAGTCTACATACCGCCTTTCTATACTAAACGAAAGTTCATGCAGCGTAGGCGGGGGAGTTCTGAGTCCCCCCTCACCTACCGTAGCGCCTTGATGGCGTTGGCTGTGGCCGCCTACCCAGCTCTAAAGCAAGAAGTCCTCGACTCCCTTGTTATGGAAAGAATGCTGGCTTTGGCAAGGGACATGGGGGTGATTCTACCTGCTTGCGGTCACGAGCCACAGACATCTCGATGGGCCACCAGATGCCTGAACGCGCATGAGAACCTACAGCGTTGGGCGCAGATGGCTGTTTGGACTGGGAATCCTAGTCGCGGTGGTGAGCCGAAGGGTTGGTCACCAACTAAAGTCATCCACATTCCGGACGATGCGCCTTCCGAGGGTGATCTTGCGGCGGCTGTTCCTCGGTGGAAGTGACGATGGGGCGATGCTCAACGTCGCCTGGGTTCCTACGGTCCACATCGGGGTGAGGACTGGGCAGCTTCAGGTGTGGCCGGTTGGGCCACTTTGCGCCGGATTGCTGGGGTCGCCCTCGTTCTTAGACTCTGCCTGCTGCTCCGTCTCCGACTCCTTCTCCGATGGCCAAACATCTTCCTATGCAGGCGAGTCAGTACACATCAGACACCCGGCCTATTTCGTCACTTCAGGCATCTCATATCACTGATCAGGGTCGATCGAATCGTGATTCGGGTACAGTTGCTAAGGGATGGCCTGTTTCGATAACGCAATGGAAAAAGCTGGCACGTCGCGTGGTTGCAGCGGCCGCGGGATCCTCGACGGTACCTGACTCCATTCAGGGCGTTGGTTGTTCGCGTCTTAGTGGATACGGGGGCTTCTGCTGCAATCATTTCTGATGTAATTTTTCAGCTTTTGTCCATTCCCGTTTTACGAGCCCGACCAGCCTTTGACGCTTGCGTTGCTGCTAACGGGGGTAGCCTTGGCATAATCGGCCAGGTGGATGCCCACATTGCTATTGGGGATGTCGCTGCATCAGGTCCGGTCTTGATTTCGAGGTCCTTAGCTGTACCCTGCTTGTTAGGCACTGGTTTTCTTGGGAGGATGCCTGTTAAAATTCTTGTAGATCAGGGGTGTCTCGAAATGTCCTCCGGTCGCAAGCTGTTTTCTACCAACTCTGCTCTCGCGTTCGTCACCGTGCGCCGTCGTGCAGGCGCTAGCGGACATCACCATTTAAATTCCACCGGGTTCCGAGATGCTGGTGCCATTGCATTATCGGAAAGGGATCCATTGCGATGATGGGGTGGCCAGGGTCCTTTTGACCCCGTCTAATACTGCGACCCGGAGTCTGACACTTGTCGGCGCTCAGACGATAGTTTGTTCCGGTCAGGCCCTGTTTTTGCAAGTTCTGGATGGGGGTCCAGATGAGAGCGTCGTCCCCGCCGGTACGGTGCTGGCTCATGCCACCACCGCCTTTATGGACCACGACGAGGGTGCGTCACGCCGATTGGTGGGGCCGACTCATTCCGCATCTGTTTCGGATGATCGATGCATCGCGGAGTTATGTCAAGAGAATCTGTCGTCTTCCGACCAACGCAGGGAGTTGCGTGCGCTTCTGTGCGAATTTTCTGACGTTTTCAGTAAATATGATTTTGATTTGGGACGTACGTCCCTTTTGGCCCACCACATTAATATGGGTGAGGCCAGCCCTATTCATCAGAACTCGCATCGATTGAGCCCTTGGGAGAAGGAACGCATGCAGCACGCTGTGAATGATATACTCACCGCTGATATCATTTCACCGTCTTACAGCCCTTGGGGCACGCCGGTCGTACTTGTTAAGAAAAAGGACGGGAATCTCATATTTTGCATGGAATTCTGCAAACTGAACAAAGTTTCAGTGGCCGACGCATATCCGCTCCCAACCATGGACGGCTCCCTAGATGCATTGTCCGGAGCGCGGTATTTGTCGACTTTCGATTTGTCTTCCGGGTTTTGGCAATTGCCCCTGGATGACTCGTCGTAACCGAAAACCGCGTTCCGCATGCCCCAGGGACTCTTTCAATTCAATTGCCTTCTGATGGCGTTGAATGCAGCTCCCACCATGTTCCAACGCTTGATGGAGCTCATCTTAGCTGGCTTACAGTGGGACACTTATCTCATTTATCTGGATGATGTAATTGTGTTTAGTCGCACGTTTGATGAACACTTTCGACGCCTGCATGCCATTTTTGAGAGGATGCGCTCCGCTAAACTCAAATTCAAACCCAAAAAATGTCATCTATTGCAAAATTCGTTGCACTACTTGGGTCAAATTGTTAGCTCCGACAGTATTGCCACGGATCCGGCAAAGACTGCCTGTGTTCACGATTGGCTACCTCCAAAATGCGTGGAGGATGTGCACAGCTTCGTTGGATTCGTGTCATATTACCGTCGGTTTGTGCCAAATTTCGCTACGGTCGCTAAACCCCTGCACACTCTGACCACTAAAAATCAGAGATTTAAATGGGGTCCGGAGGAGGAAGCAGCGTTCATGGTCCTTTGCACTCGCTTATCCGACGCGCCTACGCTCAAATATCCAAATTTTTCCTTGCCGTTTATAGTAGATACAAATGCCAGTGAAACGGGCATCGGCGCCATTTTATCGTAATCGAAAAACGGTGTGCAGAAAGTAGTCGCTTATGGCAGTCGTGTCCTTACTCCGGCGGAAAGTCGAGAGAAGATAAATTTTGGCCATTGTTTGCTTTGTGCGTCAGTATAGGCCTTACCTTTATAGCAGGAAATTCATTGTCCGTACTGACCATGTGGTTCTCCAATACTCCTTGAAGATTGAGCAGCCGGCTGGCCAATTGTTTCGTTGGCTTGAAATTTTACAATCATTTTCCTTGGAGGTAATTTATCGTAAAGGTTCCCGGCATTGCAACGTGGATGCACTGTCACGATTGCCACATGCTTTCCATTGCACATGTTGTTCTGGAATGAGTTGTACGCCGGTCACTTCACCTCCATGATTTGTCATGTCCGTGGTGGATGATTCTACGACGCACGCTGCTTATGTGCCGGCTGACAGTGTCCTGCAACTCCCGCGCTCCATGTGGTTGCGCGAGCAGCTGATGGATGATTCCTTAGCTATTTTGCGGCGTCGAGCGGAACACACACATGACTCTCCTGTGTCGGATGACAGTGGTCGATTGGCTTTTAACGACGGTCTTTTGATGTGGAGGGAGGATATGGCAGAACGATGGCAGATTGTAGTCCCCGTTGCCCTCCATGATGGCTTGGTTCGTGTGTTGCAAAGTGAAAAATTATTGCACCTCGGTGTTCAAAAAACCTTACTAACGCTGCAACGGGATTACTTTTGGCCGATGTCTCCAAACTTATTAGTTCCTGCCCTGATTGCGCTCAGCAGAAACCGCCGCAGCAGAGGTATCTTCCGCCGTTGCGATCCATTTCGGTCACGCGCATCAATGAGTTGGTGGCTCTTGATGTCTTGTTCCCGTTTCCGATCACTCCCAGGGGTAACAAATACCTTTTGGTAGGTGTGGAATATTTTTCTCTGTGGCCGATGGCATGGCTCTTGCCCAACCAATCGGCATCCTCCATCGCTGATGCATTTTTGAATGGGTACGTTATGGACAAGGGTGCCCCAGAACAATTGCTTACAGACCAAGGTCGCAATTTCTCTTATAAATTGCTCCGTGACGTCTGTGATGCTTTGGGCACTAGAAAAATCAGGACGTTGCCATACCATCCTCAGACCGACAGGATGGTCGAGCGACTGAACCATACCCTGACCACCATGCTTTGCCACACTGTCAATAAAAACAGGCCGATTGGGATTTACACGTGCCGAGGGTGCTCACCGCGTGTAGATTGGCCACGCACGCTTCCACAGGATTTTCACCATTTTTCTTCATGTACGGAAGGGAAAACGTGCCACCTATTGATACCCAATTAGGCACGACTGTTGGGAGCTCTAGACGGACCCTACCTGACCATGTATGGGAATCTCTGCTCCGGATTTCTGAGGCGCGGGAGGCGGCGAGGGTTGACACCGCTAAAACGAAGGCTCGCAACGATCGTTGTGCACGCAGGTCCGGCTGTGACATTCCGTGGTCCGTCGATGACCGGGCCTGACTTCATTGCCCTCAGGGGCCAGTTGGCACCTTTCCCAAACTACACAGGCTGTGGCACGCTCCTGTTGAAGTGGTTTAGGATAGGCATCCACAGTGCATGCACATTCAGGCGGGTCGCCATCTTTGGTTTGTCCACCTGTCTCCGCGTGTTGCTTCGTCATCCCCAAAAATTAGCCTGCTGGGGTTTGATGCATCGAACGAGCCAAAGGAGTTGCAGATTGATCTCCCGAGGGATTCTGTTTAACCGCCCACGGCACCCGAGCCCTTGAATGCTAAAGTGGGCGAAGACCCCGCCAGATCCAGCCCCGCAGCGGCAGACTCTACCACCCTTCCGCCAACCGCCCTGCCTCCTGCCGAGACAACCCATGTAGGGCCGGATACGGACGCCGTGGATAGTCCGGCGGACCCGTTCCAAGACGCCACGATTTTGTTAACATTCCACATGTGTCCCCTGCCTGTGTTGGGGATTCGCCTTACTTCCTTGTTCTTGCGCTCTTCTTTGTTATGTATGCTCCCAAGCTCGTTGCCACCAGGGTTATGTCACTGCTTCCATTACTTAGTTGGGTTCATTCCTAGCCGAGATGGCTAGTGTTTTCATCATGGGGGCGGTGATGTAATGAGAGAGCACCATCTAGGGGACTACGAGGGGTATCTGCATAAGCCACCAATGGGCCAAAGGTGTTGGGCGGAGCTAGAGGGTACGTGAGAGAACAGTTGAGAAGTTTCCACGAGGGGGCGTGTCCGGAGGCAGAGCTTGCTCCACCTAGGAGAATATAAGGAGAGGCAGTGAGAGGACTCTTGGTCGGTTTGGGAAGCCTGGAGTCCGGACTGCGTCATCGCCAACCTCTATTCGCCACTGGCCACGTGGCGGCTCTTCCAGCGAAGCCGCCTCTCCTCCCAGCACTCAGTCAGCCAATGGCGGATGGGGAGTGAGAGGGAGAGATGTGCCACGACGGTGGAAGAGGGAGAGCGCGCGTCATGGCAGAGAGAGAGAGAGTGAAGCCATCTGGAGAGAGAGAGAGAGCGGAGCTGTGCAGTCATATAATAAAGAAAGTTGCCAGTCAACAGTTGTCGTGGAAGTGCTTTATTACACGTGTACAAGTTATTGTGGGGGGAGTGGAGTGGCAAATGGTAAGCGCATTGTGTTACCAACCAGGCAACACGAGTTCGATTCTCGCTCATGACCAACACCAGTGACGATTATCTGAATGGGTCCTGGGCCTCCCCTAGGTCGACTCAGCCTCAAACGAGTAACTGGTTCGGTGTGTAAACATCGCCACTGTGGAGGCAACAGTGGTCAATGGTGGCCAGGTGGGGTGATGCCCTCTCACCCCCTCGTGTGCACTGCCGGCCTTTATAGACGGTGCTCTCCAACAGTCTGTTAAGGCTATATGGGGCATCGTTGCATGTGTGCGTGTGTCTGTGCATGCGCGCCTGCTCCATGTGTGTGTGTCTATATAGTGTGCGTGTGGGTGTCTGTTTGCGTGTCTTTCTCTTGTGTGTGTGCGTGGGTCGTGGGTGTTTGTGTTCAATTGTAGTGACTCATTGTGCCTCTTTCAACAAGCACAATTTATGAACTGTTGGACTTATGAACATGCCTGGGAACGAGTTGTGGTCATAAGTCGAGTACTGCCCTGGCTCCGCGAGCGCTCTACCTTCAGGAACGTGAGCGAGTCCCTCTCCTCCTGCAGAGCACGCAGGCGCGTGGCTGCGGCCTGGAGCTCGCTGATCTCGCGCTCATAATGAGCGATGTTCTCCTCAATCCGGGACAGCAGCTCGCGCCCCTTCACGTCCACGTGATCCAGAGCCATCTTCTCGTCCTCATTCAGCACTGCCCTCATGCGGTTGAACTTGCCTGAGATACGAGCCTTTGTCTGGACCATGCAATCCTGGAAGGGTGTGCAATGGATGCTATTAATTCATATTCAATGCTATAAATACCATAGTCACATTGTTTTCTGGCTACTCCAAACCCCGTTTGCCTTGCCTCCAGATTATTTCTCTGCACTCACATCTCATTGAACAGGTCAATATCTTTTACATATCTAGTTCCTTCACATCTAAAATATAGTGAGTAAGATAAAAAGTAAAATTGGATTCTTCTGAGGAAATAAACACAACATAAAGTGAAACATTAAATTGTAAATCGAAACATGATTTTTCCATACGGTCCCATTATATGGCCTAAGATGCATTCCTAAAGGAAATGTCCCCAGCCAAAACAGACTAAAAAAAGTTCAATTCAACTGAGATATTCTATGCACAAATACGGAGAAACATAACGACTAATAACTTACAAAAAATTACCTGTTATTAAAACTACCTCACGTTACTGGAATGTCCATGCTTCTCAGCATAGGCTGGCCTCTCTACGCTCCCTTCACCGTTTCAAATCACTCCTAGCGCAGACTACACACTTCAGATGCTGTACCTGGACCCAACCCTTTTTGCTGTTATTTTTTGCATTTCCATGATCGTTTTTTTTATTAGTTCGATCGAACAAAGACGGCTACTGCATCGCACGCATTCATGTGCACTTCTGCGGCCGTCTGGAATGTTCTTCCTTCCAATATTAGGAAGCCACTGGAACTTTGCACTTTTAAATAATCTAGATTGAAAACTCATTTCTGTAGAACTGCTTTTTGTGTTTAGTTTGTTGTCTTTCCACCGCACCTCCGATTAGCACGATTGGCATAATACAATCATGTTTACTTCACATCACGCTCATCTGTTCCTCACCATTAATTAACCTTTTTTTGGTGCAATAAGCTTTTTGTTCATTTCGTTAAAATTGTTAATGTTTTTTCTTTATGGGTCATTTTCTTCCTGTGGCTCTGACGCATTTTTTGACGATGTTGCCTGTCCCTCCCAAAATATCAACGTTATATTGTTTTTGTTATATGCTTGATGCATCAAGGATTTCCCTTGCAAAATAACTGGGTGACACGCTAAGTGTGATTTTCCGTATAACAATTAATATTCAGGGCCCTATCACCACGCAGGGCAGTAAAGGCAGAATAGCTATCTTTTCCTCAGAACAAACCTGGACATATGTCAGTCAGCCTAGATTTATTAAAGCAGTGAAGTATATTGTAATAAACTTCAACAAAATACCATAAGATTTTGTTACAAATCAATTCCTGCCACAAATGCCAATTGCCGGGCTGTCCAAGTCAAACATGGGTAGTTGTCAACTCTAAGTGGAGGTGTAATAATCAGGGAGTTGCGTGGTGAGTGGGATGTGTATATATGCTGCTGTAATTATGCACTCCCAGAAGACCGTGGATGTTTAGAAATATGTATTTTAGGCGGAGAGACAAATCTATACAGCCAAAAAAAATATCAGTTGATCTATTTTCTTAGTTATATTCTCTGCAACAAATCCACTAATTATGCATGTGCTGTGTATTATGATTTGGCATCGAACTATGACCTATATCTGTACGAGAAGGTCTTTGCCTATAAACATAGGGAAGCAAACCAGCATTGACTACAGCAAGCCTGATTCTGATACTGATGCAAAGACTGTGTCAGCAAGTCTCGATGTGTAGACAGGGTGCCAGCGAAGCTGGAGGATCTTGATTGGGAAATTCTCCAGAGATCCGTGGATGGGAAATTCTCCAGTTCTAGATTTGAAGCTTTCGTGACTGCAAGGATCCATACTCTTTGGTTATATTCGGTAAAGTCACGTAGGTAAAAAATAAAACAACAATAATCACGACGTTTCGGCCACAACACAAGTGGCCTGCTTCAGTTGAACGAACAGAACTGTCGGGACGACAGCACTTCAATGACCGCTGCTAAGATTTGCAGCGTCTTTTAAGCTCGGTGAGAGGAGCAGGGCGCCTTGACAAAGGAGTTTACATATCAAAAATAGCTGTGTTAAAGTGTGTTAAAGTGTTGAAATAGCAGGGTGTTAAAGTCAGAAATTTAGCATGTAACTGGGGGATTAGCATGTTTTTGTTGTGTAGAGGGTGCGGAGGATGGGTCACTGTGTGTGTGCAATAGAAATGGAAAAATTAAAGATCGGCAAGAATGTGCTGTAAGGGGAGAGTAGAAAAAAGGGTTTAATAGAAAGTTTGGAAGGAATATGCTTGGTATACCATTAGTTGAAATTGCTGTTAGAAATTAGTTGACGTTTGGTATGATTTAAAACGTCTTTCCAATGGTTGCTTAATTTGAAACCATCCTCTCGGTTGAAGTTATGTCTGTGTTTGTATATCTGAATGGCTTCGTGGACAAATCTCTGGTGATAACCTGTAGGTTTACAGAGAACCTTGGTATCGGAGAAGACAGTCGCATGATCACCCATAGCGTTGTAACAATGATCAGCCACAGCAGATGAATTCGTTTTGCCGTGTTTCAGATCTGATTTGTGTTCGCGAATTCGGTCAGAGATATGTCGTTTCATCTCTCTGATATAGCAATCACCGCAGGTACAAATCAATTTGTAAACTCCGGGGTACTGTAAGTCAGGGATGACATCCTTCACGGATGTGTACTGTATTGAACCGGACCAGGATCTTGTGTTTGTTTAGAATTTTGGAGATCTTTTTAGTAACGCCTGCTATATATGGTAGTGTGATGGTTTTGACCGGAGTATGAAGTGGTTGTTTCTGTATGGAGGGAGAAACAGCTTGGCGGATGGTACGGTCAGCGTATCCGTTTCTCTTGAGGGCCAGGTGTACATGTTTTAATTCACTGGTCAGGTGGCGTTGGTCCGAAATGCAATGAGCCCTGTGGTATAACGATTTGATGAGATAATTATTTTGAGCTGGGTGGTGGTGGGAATCAGGCTTCAAGTAGGAATCTGTGTGGGTGGGTTTCCTGTAGACAGAATGCCCCAATGAACCATCAGGTCTCCTCTCAAACAGAACATCCAAGAATGGTAGCTTGCCATCTTTCTCCACTTCCATGGTGAATTTGATGGCGAGATGTCTGGAATTGATGTGGTGTAGGAAACGGTTCAAAGCTGGGAGGCCATGTGGCCAAATGACGAAAGTGTCATCAACGTATCTCTTCCACAGGGAAGGTCTGAGGGTGGAAGCCTACGTGACTTTACCGAATAGAACCAAAGAGTATGGATCCTTGCAGTCACGAAAGCTTCAAATCTAGAATCGATCACCTCTACGGGGAGGGCTTTCACCTATCTGTTAGAGCTTTCAACAGACAACGGGACAAAAAGTCACAGCTCATCGAGACTCTGACCTTCCTCAAAAGATGCCACGACAACAAGGTAATTCCCATTGCTTTCACACTCACATCTGCTGCTGTATCCTCACCGACTTCTAAACAGATTCTGTTTAAGGCCAGCCTATCTTTAATCTCAGAGAGGATAAGACTACTCCGTTTTGAACTCGATACTTTAGACAGGACTGTCCTACAAGCTCATTTAACGTTAACACAAAAAATATCACCTTCTGATTGGAACCACGTAGACAACATGACTGCTTCTTCTGCCGATTCACTTTCAGTCAAATGCAAAGCTAACCTGATTTCTAAATTCAACCACCTATCGAAGAAAAACCCAGTCCCACATATAACAAAACTAGACGTTAACAAAATCGTCATTAATCAGAGTAACACCCTGGTTTCGGACAATCTGAAAACAGTACTGGCTAGAGGGCTAAATTTTGCTGTCACCCCGAAACATATTCCTGTAGATGATATCATCTCTCAAGTCGATGTAGCCCTCAAAGGCATAGGACACATCCAAGCAGACGTTGCGAGAGCTGAAATAGCCTCTATTCTTAAGAATGCTAAGAAACCCATTAGCAACATCAGCAAAAATGAACGCTCTGAACTCGCGAATTTAAAAAACAGAAGTGATATAGTCATCCTCTCAGCCGACAAAGGCAACGCTACTGTAATTATGGATAAAGATTCGTACAACAACAAAATCCAGAACCTACTCAACGATGGAAGTTACTAAAAAATTAAAAAAAATGACCCTACTAATAGCCTAACTATAAAAACCAACAAGATCATCACAAGATCGACCTCCCTAATCGAACCAACTAAACGTCCCTCCCTAAAACCTTCTGCTGCTAGACCCCCTATATTCTATGGTCTCCCAAAGATTAATAAAGAAGGCACTCCACTTCGACCCATCGTATCCACGATCAACTCCCCTACTTCTAAGCTAGCACGTTTTCTGTCAGATACCTTGCTACCTTTCACTGGCAAGAGCTCCTCAGCAGTACATAACTCAGCCCAATTGGTCTCTATGGTCAAAGACGGTGTACTGTCCCCTGACGAAATCCTTGTCAGCTTCGATGTGGTCTCCCTGTTCACCAAGGTCCCGGTACCTTATACCATTAAAATAATTGAAAATTTGGTACAACATGGACTAAACCCCAATACACCTGCGCTGGTTAGACACTGCCTCACCAATACATACTTTACTTGGAATGGCACCTTCTTCAAACAAAATGAGGGTACCCCCATGGGTTCACCCTTATCACCAGTGATAGCCAATGTTTTCATGGAGAAATTTGAATCAGACGCCATCCAGACTTCCACCCTCAGACCTTCCCTGTGGAAGAGATATGTGGATGATATTTTCGTCATTTGGCTACATGGCCTCCCAGCTTTGAACCTTTTCCTACACCACATCAATTCCAGACATCTCGCCATCAAATTCACCATGGAAGTGAAGAAAGATGGCAAGCTATCATTCTTGGATGTTCTGTTTGAGAGGAGACCTGATGGCTCATTGGGGCATTATGTCTACAGGAAACCCACTCACACAGATTCCTACTTGAAGCCTGATTCCCACCACCACCCAGCTCAAAATAATTATCTCATCAAATCGTTATACCACAGGGCTCATTGCATTTCGGACCAACACCACCTGACCAGTGAATTAAAACATGTACTCCTGGCCCTC